GAGAGAGAGGTACCTCCAGAGACTCCTTGCGGTTCTGGGTGAGGGCCCCCAGGCTGTCCCACTGATCACAGATCTTCTGACAGCGAGCGTTGACGCTGGCAGAGTCGTAGTAGTCCAGCTCGCTGCAGACAGGGAGGAGCAGATTTATAAAAGATGCTATCACACAGATAGATGAGTCTCCTCCACTTCCTCTCTGCCTCCTTACTTGAGCTCCTGTGCGATGGCGGCGATCTGCTCCACTCGGTCCTGATGGGCCGCCAGGTCGCTCTCAAAGGCCTCGTGTTTCCGTAGCAACGCCTTGACTTCGGACAGGGTGCAAGTCTCGTAGTCTTTCTGGGTCAGCATGGCCTCCTTACCTGCACAGAGCATCATGTTAATAACTTAAGTAATAGATTTCATTACCTGAAGCCAACACAGCAATTTACTTGAAAAACAAATATGAGCTTCAAGTGTATATTTCAAACAATCTGCATCAGCTGCTCTCTTTGTGAAGAACACAGACTGGTTCAATAAAATATCAAATGAGTGTTTAGTAATTTTACTATTTGATTTACTAACAATATGTACAGTTGGATAGAGAAGAGGGATTTTTCTCTTGGAATGAATGGAAATTGATTTTTTGCCAAAAAGGGGATTCAACTTGATCATCGAGGGGGGGAACTACACAGTTAGTGGTATTTTACAAAGGGTGAATGTGTGTGTGATTAAGCGTTAATGCACCGTCGGTCCAGGACTCATGGATTTTAGACTTCTGGTGGAACTTCTCGGCCAAATGCTCCAGTCTCTCCAGACGTCTGATCTCGCTGAGGATCCACTCCTCGTAGCCCTTCTCTGCTCCCTCCAGAGTGTACCACGCTCCGTTGATGTCCTGAGAGCAAACAGCAGCTGTTATTATACCATTCCTTCACTGCAGAGCACATCATGCACCAGTTTGTAGTCCATGACAGTAGAATAACAGCCCACCTACTAGCAGTCATTCCAAACTGTAAAGAAGTGTAATGGTGTGAAACTAAACCCTCTATTGGGTTGAATCATTCAAGAGAACTAGACTTAAAGCTGATCTGAGACATTTCTGTTCACCGTATAATGGCAAAAAGTGAATTCTTAAAGAATGTCAGTGTCATGGACAAATGCACAAAACATGATATATATACACACACCAGAGACAGGAAAGGATTTTGTGCATTTTACACCTGACTTAACTATATGCTACTTTTCTGTTAAACTGCAACTACACTAAAACCAGCAACATGAAATGAAAACGTCAAAACTAAAAGTAGTTGAAAATTCAATGGATGCTAACGTGTTCTGTGAGGCTTGAGGCTGACACAAAGGTTGTTTACATAATAACATGTTTCAATGCAGGTTTAAGTGTAGATGAAAATCTTTGTGGAGAGCACACTTGTCCTATTTATGTATTTGCATATCTATTTATTTTTAATAAGGGTAAGCAGATTTCCTGCTGTCTGTAAGATATACAAATATAATTCAAATGTCTTGTGATATGGACTCTTTTCATGGGATTCATAGAGTGAGATGTAGGTGTACATACAGACACCATGCGTCCCTCTGACGGCATGAAGGCAGGTCTGTTGCTGAGTCTCAGTTTGGTCTGCAGAGTGTTGAAGCTGATCTCCAGCTGGCATTTCTCTTGGACCTGAGGACAGGAGGGGAAGAGGTTTCACAGTGTCAGTCATTCAGTAGAGGAAACAAAACCTCTTACCTCTTAGAATAAGGACTGTGGTTAGGCTGGAAGTGAGAAACCATTTTCATGGTGTGAGTAGAGAGCATTTGAGGAGCTCTGTTACCTTGGGGGGTTTGTGGACGCAGCGGTAGTCTCTGAAGTCTTCCTGCTTGGCCTGCATGTCAGTCACCGTCTTCTCCTGGGTCCGGTTCTCCAGCCAGGGGATGGTCCGGCGGATCCACTCCAGCAGCTGACCAGATAGGAAATACAATCAGATTGTCAGGAAACAAGGCTCTGACACTTGATCAGTAACTAAACTTAATTACAAAACGTCAAAATAAAATGAAAAGTGTAGTCAGGTAGATGAATAAATAAAAGTCTCCTCACCTCACTGGCCAGCTTCTCGTAGTCCTCCATCATCTGCTCGTTCTCCTGGTTGACAGCCAGCACTTTGCAGATACGGTTGGCGGCTGTCTCAGCCTATCAGAAAACAGAGTGATGAGTAGCGCTCGCAGTGATTGGATAGAACACGCTGACATCAGGTCCACTCCACTCTTAGTGAGACATTCACTGTAGCTAAGCGTTAAGAGTCTCTAAATCAAACAGTGTCTACTGCTCATTATCATTTCCTCAACCTACTTCTGTTAGAATAATTCATCACTTCTGTTTTTTTTTTTTTTGTGCGAGCACAATCCACACACAGGCAGTGAACAGAAATAAAACTAACCTTAAGGTCACACATTATTTTAGAAAAGTGCAAATGACTAAATAAAAGTCAAATGGAGGTTACACTTGACTGATAAAACATGCTCAAGCTGCTGATGGTTAGTTTAATGTGCCAAAAAAAAAATCAATAAGTGCATTTAAAGCTCCATGCGTCTCCCGCCAAAACTCAGGAGTCAGTCCATACGTCTAGTTACAGTTTCTGTCGCACTGCTGTCCACACCAGCACGGCTGCCTACGATATTACACTACTGTACCACTGGAATAAAACAAAAACAGTACACACTTTTCACATATAATCTGTACTAAAAACCCTGTTCCATCATATTACTTTACATTCTTAACCAATGTATTCTATCTATACATTTAAATAACATCACAAAATAAAACAAACATTTGGAATGAGAAGTGTCATTAGCTGAGAATTGGAAGGACATTAGTCATGTTCCCCACAGTGATAAAAGAGAACCCTCCCAAACACCCGTCAGTACCATTATCTGGTTTAATCACATGGTTTTGTTAAATTCTCCATTCTGATTGGTTAATTACTGCATTCTAATAGTCTGTATTTTCTGAATGGCAGACTACTGCTATGGACACAGTTCTTCTCGATAGAGTAGAATCTAAAAAGGACATACAATAATTTATAGTCAATGAAATTCATTTTAAATCAAACATGTTGTGTCACATTATCTTTGGTAGGTTGCTGCGAAATAGGCTTCAGGGCCCTGATTACACTGCAGGGGTTCAATGCATTGATGCTGGCTAACTACATTATTCCATCATTCAACATCATTTTCCACAGTAAACCACACATTGCTCTACCTACATGTATTCAGATGTATTCAGAATTTCAGTGGAAACTTGAGATACATTTGATACCCACAACAATCCAGTGAAGGCACATGGTGGTCATGCAGGAGGATTACAGTACTGACGTGAGTTTGGGAATTTAAATCCAGACCATAAAGTAAAACCTTTTTGGGGAAACACAGTCAATGTCCAAAGAAGCTGAAACAGAAGCATGAGAGAGCGTTTGCTGGCTTTCCTATCCTGTTGATATTCCCTGAGTTTCCCTGTAAACAAGTCTTATCCAGTGAGGAGGAATATAAAGCAGAATTATCTGGGGATGGCTATAGGATTTTATCATGGATTGAGATAATAAAACACTCACAATGAGTCATTTGTGGTGAATTTCAGTTATCAGGATATTCTTGAATATGTGACTTGAAACAAATGACTACTTTGCATATGTGGTAGAGTTTGAAAAACAGTCCAATTAAAAGAAAATCTGGAATTATCTTGTACTGAGGAAAATAATCAAACAGTGTTGCTATTTCTACATATATTATTCCTTTACTTATGCATGGGGAAATATGATTTCCTTATTAAGGATTCTAGCCAGGTTCCATGGCTGGCTTAATCTATTTAATATTTTGAGAAACATTTCCAGATGTTTCTGGGATTTGACCCATTTTCTGATGACATTGCTCCCTATCTTCTCTCAGTCTGGAATAACTCTGGAGTTTCTTCTTCTGCACTGTTGAAGTCAGTCTGAAGGGTGAGAAGCTCACCTTCTGAGCGCCAGAGAAGGCGTGATAGAAGCAGGACACATAGGTCATAATGGCCTTCTCATCCGGCCGCAGCGTACCCACGATGTCTACACAGCACCCAGCGGGGGGGGAGAGGTTCACCAGGAAGGCAAGCAGAGAGAGAGAGGGAGAGAGAGAGAGAGAGAGTGAAGCCAAAGCTACCCAGAGCTACATGAGCTCGCTCCTGTAGGGTGTGAGAGCGAGGGAGGACTCTTTAGGTCCACAGCTTCTTCCTGTCCCCCCCCCTCGGACGACGCGGCCACAAGTTCCAGGTTGGGACACAAACACACACACAGGAAGAGGTTCACTCAGAGCACTCTTCTCAGAGAGTGAGCTTTAGTTTGGTTCATTCAGCAGCTGAGAATGATGTCTTTAATAATCAGGTGGCATTATAAACTGCTCTAAGAAACAAAAAGTTATCAATCCTATCCATAAATAAAAAAGAATAAAAAGAGAAATAACTTTAACCATCTTTCTACATTTAACAACAAATAATACTGATAATAATAATACAAATAATCCAATCTTTAGCTCTGGTTTTAAGTGCAGAAATCAGAGCATGACAATAATAATTGAAGGCAAACTACAGAATAGAGTTGTCTGATTCTTCATGCATATACACATCATAGTACTAATCCAGCAGTAAGTGAAATGACTTTGAAATAAAATGAACTTCATGTTAATCATGTTACACCTAACTAAATGATTTGCTTTTGGAGGATGACTAAGACACATTCTCAAAAGACCAAGTGAACCAAACCAAAGAGAAAACACTCACACTTGGTTTTGCTACTTAAAGCACCAATATGTTACACTGCTGCTACAATGTTCTAATCCTTAATCTGCTAGTAATTATCAAAGTATTCCACTCACTCTGTTGACAATACATCACAACAGAGTGGAGGGAGTATTTACTGCTGTCACCAGCACAGCTACAATCAGACTGTGTGTGTTTGTGTGTGTATTGCTGAGTGTTTGTGTCCCAAAGTGTTCTTGTTGAGACTCTGCAGGCTGTGGAGAGAGAGCAGCCATGCTGGACAGGTAGCAGCACCTTGTTAGTAATTGGGGGGGGGGGGTTATACATCAGGGGTCAGAGGGTACCTTCTGTGCTCCAGAGAAGGCATGGTAGAAACTGGACACATAAGTCATTATGGCTTTCTCATCTGGACGAGCAGTGTTCACAATGTCTACAAGGTGGGGGCAAGACCGTGGTTAAGAAGACACTCACACACATATACAGGCAAGACATGGGATATACACAACAGGACACACATGTTGGTACATGCACTCACATATTTTACACACAGACACACACTTAACAAGCTGTTAACAGACAGACACACAATCAGAACCTCATACACACACAGAAACAGATACAGTGAGTTAGAGATCAGTGGCAACATTTATATTCACATTAACACTGAGACTGTAATGGAAGTGAGTTTTAAATTCAACACTAAATACTGTAACTTTTTACTCCTGTACTCTTAATGATACCAATGTGCATCAGAAAATATTTTACTGACTAACAACACTAAATTATAGACAAAACCATTTAAAGTTTGTATTGTTAAATGAACGGAGGGAGAAAAGTTCAAATGATCACACCACATGTACTAATTTCATCTACAATAGGTTTGCCCCAAAAGACGAATTAAATGAAGAAAGAATTCAGTTTGACATTTGAGTGGTGTTTCTTCTCCATGTACAAAACACACTCATTATTAAAAATGTTATTATTTTCTTTTAGAAGCTAAAAGCATGAAAGGGTATTTGGAAATATAGAGTAGTCCTATTTGACATCGCACACTTTTGAATTGTAGTAAATGATACAATGTAAGTGCTGTTTCAGTGATTGAAACTGAAAACTGGAGTACGAGTAGTTAACAAATGTAAATGAAATGATAATAAGGGTCTTAAAGTTAGAGAATGAGTCAGGCAGCTTTATTAACTGCTGCCCGCTCACATCCCAGTCTCTGTGTTGCTCATGTAAACGCAGTCTGACAGACAGCTCTCAGCTCCAGACCTACCTTCTGCGTCCAACATCTTGGGGATGTCCAGGTGCTTCTCAGCCACCTCGAAGGCATTGTTCAGGTTAGTCACAGGGTCGTCCTAAACAAGCACACAGAACAATTGCTAAGTCCTACTTTTTATTAGTAGAAAGTTTAATGTTAGATTTTTTTAACAACAACATAACTACGACTTTGCTTCAAAATATGCAAAGCTAAATAAAGTGTGTGTGTGTGTGTGTGTGTGTGTGTGTGTGTGTGTGTGTGTGTACCTTTCTGAGGCTGTCGTAGTCGATGAGGTCGGGTCTGTGTCTGTGGATCAGAGCGTTGAAGGCCAGACCGTCCTTCCAGCTGTTAGAGAGAACATGAACACCAGAGATCATTCACTGAGCCTCGTCTGATCTGCAGAAGCTGGGTTAACATGCCAATAAATCCCTTTTCATTTTACAAATACTTCACCAGGGACCATTTCCTGTATCATATACTGACCCTATGAATAATCCATATAGAGTGAGTACAGTTTCCTAAAGATTTCAAAGTCACACAGCGTGAGAAATTGATACACAATGCTTTCACTGAGCTGGAGGCAACAGGAAGTCACGCCAACATAACAACAGATAGTTGGTGCAACTGCAAGTGTGAAATTAATTTTTTACCTGGTGACTAAACAATCCTACATGCGTGTCCAGTTGTGTGTATATCGCATGTCCTCTGTCGTGCCTATATATATATATATATACATATATATATATATATATATATATATATATATACATATATATATATATACATATATATATATATATACACATATACATATATATACATATATATATATATATATATATATACATATATATATATATACATATACATAGTATATATATACATATATATATATACATATTACCATATAGTATATATAATATATATATATATACATATATATATATATATATGTATATATATATATTATATATATATATATACATATATATACATATATATATATATACATATATATATACAGTAACTGTACAATATGCACTTTGAAAGCTTCTGAATCTGTCCCTTCACTCAGGCCCCGCTCACACGGGACCGTTTGCGTTTATGCACAGTATGCGTATTCAAAAAAGTCTTCCGTTCACATGCATTAGTTTCATTTAACGTGCCTGTTCAAACGAGGCCGCTGGAAACGCTGTAGTACATATGCCGGGACTGTAAGTGGCACTGTAACTTCCGCCAAAATACACCAAAAGCCGTGAAGAAGAGCAGCCCAGCAGCCCCGCCACAATGTTGCCATGGCTACCCTTCTGTTTAAGCCCCGCGGTGTATTTAGCAACATGTAGTTCATGTAATTCTCCATGTCCACTTGTTGCTGATGGTTGTGGTAGAGGAGCTGTAGATTTTGCACTAATATCTGTAGCATGGTCAGTAGCAGTAGCACTAGCAGTAGCTACTGACAGGAGGAAGTGTGTGGCGATTGCTGGTATTCAGCGGGATATAGTCATTTCCTCAGCATATGGATAAATGCAACGGGGAAGTTAACTGAAAGAAACCAAGAAGCACGTCTCCGTGGAGAGGACGCGCTCAGAAAGAGAGATATTCTCTACAAACACCGGGTGAGATCCTCCTTTGTCAATATAGTGGATCAATGCATGAAATCTGACTCTGTTTATTTTGTTTAAGGAGTATATTGGGCGTTAACAATTCTGGTTTGCCTTTTATAATATTATTTCATTCAAGAACCCCTTGTGCGTTTAATTAACACAGCTATTTTTGATAGTTGCTACAGCAGTGAGCAGGAGAGGTGGGGAGAGGTGGGGCTATCGTTATTTTTTCAGGAAATATTCGTATAGAGGTGATTACACGGACTCGGTTGACCCCCCAGAGCGTTTCGTTTGCAAATCTATCCACCTTGGGACCCGTTATCGTTTGTGGGGTCAGTTTCTATCGGCCTCGTGTAAATAATAGGGCTATACGCACGCGAAACTATGCAGATACAAGCAGTTTTCTCCTCGTGTAAACGGCGCCTTAGTGTAGTCTTTTTAATCTTCACATACTCCTGGAAGTGGCTTCACACTAAACAGTGAAACATGTTGTAGTTACTCCACCAGGGGGCGACCCTTCTACACGATTAAAGTAGTTTGTTTCATTTTATATACAGAGCACTAAACTTCCATTCAACATTTAGCTTATGAAGTAAATATATATATATTCACTTATATTCCACAAAATATTGACTTATATTCCACTATATATAGCCATGCTGCTGAAAGACCAGTGAGTCTGTTTTTGTTAATGAGTTTATTCTTAGATCCTACATATGTTTTCTTTCAGGGTTTCACTGCAGACCATTAGTCCAGATGCCCAAAACCTGTTTTCAAAGATTTGATAACCTTCAGATACAGAACTGAATTCTGAAAGAGATGTTCAATATCTTTCATTTGACCAGAACTTTTTGGTTTTTATTAAATGTGTTAATCGTGACAGCTTTCTTCTAAGAATGAAGACTATTGACACTAGATCACTCCACTTAGACACCTAAGAGTGGGATTGTGTGTGTTACCTAATGTGGAAGTTCTGCACATTGACATTCTTGTAGGGAGCGGTCTTCCTCTGGCACCAAAGGAGAAGACCCTCCTTGGCAGAGGTCTCTGTAGTGAGGAAAGAAGGAAGAGGAGCAGCAGCAGGAGAGAAGAAGAGGAGCAGGAGGCGTGTGTTAGTGAGACGTCTCAGAGAGAAGTATACTGCAATGTTTCTGAGGGAGCTAAATATAAACCGCTCAGTCCTCAGATGACGGACAGTACATAGATGTTTTTGTTTACTCCATGTGCCTGAACAAACATCACACACACATCTCCTCACTAATACACTAACATGGAGAACACAAACATATGACTAAATATTGAGTCTTATAGTGGCCCACACCCACCATGATGAGTCCAACAGACGGCTTTAATTAAACCCCATCAGAGTCATCAGAGCTCTGAGTGAGGGACACATTCACCATGCAGAATTATCATCAGCAGACGCCCTCCGAGTGTGTGTGCCTTATCAAGGTTTAATGCTGGAATTAAAAGTATATTCATTGTTCTAAATCCAGCCTACTAGGATTAATGTTGGTCACAGAAAAGGAGATGTCACATTGGACTGTGAGACGTTGTGACGGGCACTTTCTGAGAAAATATTTACCATTTATTCATGCTAAACTCATAAACACATTTAACTACTTTTAACAAAAAATTTGCCTATAACTATATTTTATTAAAAGGTTTTTAGTATTCCTCAGTTGGCCAGTGACTTCTAGGACACAAATTAAAAAAGATTGTTCCTAAAAAAGGTAGGCTAGCTTCCTTGATTGATCTCAGAATCTTCCCAATTTTAGAAATACATGTATTGGTATTTTGTGTGATTTTAGTGTCCATCAGTTATGGATATTTGTAGAAGTTGTATACGGATTCAGAATCCCTGAGTTTAAGGTGATGACGTCACAGTGCCCTTCAGCAAGGCACTTAGTCAGCTGATTTGAACGTGTTTATGCAGATAAAAGAGCACAGTGGTACCTTCCACAGAGATGTCCTGGATGGCGAAGCGGAGGATGATGGTCCAGATCATTCCCAGGGTCATCTTGGCGTTTCCGTCCACGATCTCTGCACGACAAAACAGAAATGTGTCATATGGTTTTTGCTGCATCTAGATTCACTTTGGACCATACATCGTGTTTTTACAACCTTACATCGGCTGTTCCACTTAATAACACACCCGCACTAATGTCCCACAGCTGCCAAACATACAGAGCTTTTTTAAGTGACAGGCTTTCACAGTGATTTCATTCATAAAATAATTCAAACAAAAGATTACAAATACAGTGAATTGTTAAATACGTATAGTATAAGAGACACATATTTGTAGTTAATTATAAGGACTGACTTTGTGCTCTGAAATGGTGCGTGCATTGAATCCATGAAGTTTAGAACTTGAAATGAACATATTCATTTTAAAAGATTTACATTGAAGATCTCAGTTTTCCCACAGAGCTCTACACACACACACACACACACACACACACACACACACACACACACACACACACACACACACACACACACACACACACACACACACACACACACACACACACACACACACACCACACACACACACACACACACACACCACACACACACACACACACACACACACACACACACACACACACACACACACACACACACACACACACACACACACACACACACACACACACACACACACACACACACACACACACACACACACACACACACACACACACACACACACACACACACACACACACACACACACACACACACACACACACACACACACACACACACACACACACACACACACACACACACTATGTCGTGCGGGTCACATTCCTATCATAGTTCACACAGTTTGTACTTCCACCAGCTTCATGTTCCCCTTCATCACTCTCACTGTCAGCTGTCACTGTCCCACATCGCTCTCATTCTATCAACATTCTTCATGTTCAATTACCATAATGACCTTAAGTTTTCTTTAACAGGAGCCGTGTGTCACAAGTTTTTAACCATGATAAATAATGTTTTTAATTTTACGGTAAAACTTTTCTAAAATGTAATAAAAGCTCAATTATGTTTTTATTCATTGACTTAGAAGATTGTTTATTAGCCTCCAAAAAGGCTTTACAACCATGTATTTGAACATTTTCCACTAGGGTTTAACACTGAGGTCCCTGAGGATCAAAAGTGTTGAAGAAAGAGAACATAGGAACGTGTCCTTTAAACTGTTTCTGTGGGAAGTCCTTCATTTTCAACTCGTCCCTGCCAAATCCATTTTCCGCTCTCCCATCTTTAATGTTGGCATTTTTGTCTCCAAAGCTTTCCAGTAGATGACCTTTAGTGGGCCGCTTCTTTAGAAAGGGACTCACGGTGTGTGTGTGTGTGTGTGTGTGTGGGGGGTGGCGGCACTCTGAGTTCAATGGTCAGCAGTATCAGCGGTGTCATGTAGCAGGAATGTCACGTTTGTTCTTAAAGAGCAGGAGAGAGGTTAATTTGTTCTCTTCTGATTATTCATTTGCTTTAAGCCTGTACCTCTGTGAGTGTATGTAAACAGAAGGGCAGTTTGGTGCTGTCAAATTCAAACGGAATCCTTGTTAAGCCTACACATCTTTGCATCTTTAACTGTGTGGATAGCATCTCTTTAAAATCTGTCTTGCACCACTAGATACAACATGCACAGGTTTTGGCTGTATGTCTTATGAACAATAAGAAGCTTAAGTCCTTGACTCTGACAGTTAAAGGGTGTTCCTCATGGGGCTGATTATGGCTATGCTCCAACGCAGCTGTGGGACATCATGCAATTATGGGCTGTAATTAAGTATTGATGTCGATCAGTCTTAAGAAAGTTCCCTGCTACTGAAAAGTGGGCAGTTAAAATAATCTGTGGGTTAATAGTGACTTCAGGACATTCTTAGTACTAACTAATCTCTCTGACTTTCTAACTAAACATGTGAAAGTCAAACAGAGGCTCTGGTTTTGGGGCCCATGTGTTTAGTGATCCATGCCCAAAGGTCATCTACTGTAGTGCAGATTCCACACTCAGGACCAAGTATGGCATCTTGACTTGAGATCAGGCTTAAAAGGAGTGAGGTGGATGAATGACATGTAGCTTTCATAGAGAGGTTTCAGGACTACATTCATTATGTCTCAGCACATCAACAATGGGCATTTTGAAGGGGCTTCTTTTCATGTTTGTATATGCGTGCATGAACGCATGCTTACCCTCTGCTCCAATGGAGACCAGTTTCACTCCTTTACCGGCGATGAAGTCCAGGGCTTTGTTCACGTTGTTGATCTTGTGGACCCTCATCTTGCCTCGCTCAGGCTTGGCTAACCGTTCACCTGTGGACACACACACACACACACACACACACACACACACACACACACACACACACACACACACACACACACACCACACACACACACACACACACACACACACACACACACACACACACACACACACACACACAACACACACAAACACACCACACACACACACACAACACACACACACACACACACACACACACACACATACACACACACACACACACACACACACACACACACACACACACACACACACACACACACACACACACACACCACACACACACACACACACACACACACACCACACACACACACACACACACACACACACACACACACACACACACACACACACACACACACACACACACACACAGACAGAAGGTGAGCGAGTTAGCTCCTGCAGTGACGGAGGCAGCTTGTTTCCACAGGCTCAGCACCACAACACTGTCAGACAGTTAAAGCTACAGCAGGCACCATGGTGTGACTCACAGCTCAATGTGAAAGGAAGCCACATTTCATTATGAGACCACAGCAGCTCAAATGAGTATGTTCTATGCAGGAGGAAGGCTGTCGTACAAAGTGACAGATCTATAGCACAGGGTTCCCAGTGCTTCTCCTGATGGTGAGATGTGTGATCCATACTGAGGCGGGAAACTGAGTGACCCCGCCCTGGTTTGGACAGCTCAAAGAGAGGCTGCTTATAAAGGCTGCTTATAAATGCTCTGGTGTGTGTGTGTGAGTGTGTGCGTGTGTGCGTGTGTGTGTGTGTGCACGTGTGTGTGCACGTGTGTGTGTGTGTGTGTGCGCGTGTGTTGGGCTGGACAGCTTTCCCCTGTGGTTTCTGTGTGGAACATTATCACAGCTATCACAGTTTAATTAAAAACTTTCCGAGTGAGTTTTGTGGAGCTGCGGGGGGGCAGAGGGTTACCTGAAATGGTCTCCAGCAGCAGCATCAGTTTGAGCCCATCCCTGAAGTCTTCCTCTATGCTTTCAATCTGCGTGCCGGACTTCCTCAGGTGGGAGTTGCACCACGCCGTGAACGTCTGAACACACAAACAGGAGAAACGTGGGGATTATTCACAGCCTGGGACAGTGTTTTTCTAGCTTTTATGACAATAAACTACTTTGAATCGAGAATAGAGGAGAATTCAATTAACAGGAAGGTCAGGGAGTTGCTTTGATAAGACAGGAAGTGGCAGAAGAAATGGGGAGGAGACAGATGTTATAACACGATACATATAGTTCAGAACTGCTAGTTATCAAAGTATCTTTAAAGAATCAGAATTAGCATCATTCCCACTATAAAAAACGAAAGAAAAGCCTCCTCACGTACAAAGCTCCCACAGCCTGTCCCGTATGTTCATGTAGAAACACTGCCAACCTTACAGATATATGCCCCTGAAGATATGAAACCCGACAGGAATCAAAGTGAACATCTGTCACGATGGCGTACTGAATCACAGACATCTGGAAAAATAAACTGAAATATAACACATCTAAAGCTGCATGGAGTCCATGTTTTCCAGCTCCTGGTTAGCCAACATTCTTCACAAATGTGTTCTGAATTATTTGATTGCGAGGAGTTAGTGGCACAGATGTAGGCACGGGACTGCGGGGAGCTTTGTCACGCCACTCAGTCATTTATGGCTTGTCATAAATCAACGTGTCAAAACACTGACTTTTCTCTGACTCATAACTAATGAAAGAGCTTCACAATGCTCAGTAACCAAAGGTTGTCTCGTCCATCAGATGGAAATACTTGACTTCTTAGAACTTCCAAGCTGATAACAGGAAACCATGAGTGAGTTTCATCACCATAAATGCATTACAATTAAAACAATGAAAATGTTATGGAGCTCTAAGACACAATATGCATAAGGTGAAGGGATGGGGAAAAAGAAAGCAGGAAAGAGTAAGAGAAGGAATGTTGATAGTTTTTCCCAGCAGGAAGAATACACTTGATAATGACTGAATGACCAAGATAAAACTAAGGCTGGAGCCACACGATGACGATAACTTTTCGTTATCAAACAGCTGGAGACGCTGTAGTACATATGCCAGGCCTGTAAGTGGCGCTGTAGTCCTGCCACAAAAGCAGGTGGACGCTCTGGCTCTTTTTCTCCCTCCCCGAGGCAAGCGTTTGCTCCTTCTGCTGCTTTAATTCAATGCAATCCCTCCCCGTCGAGGCAAGCACTGTAATTCTCTCCGGTTAGTCCACCAGCAGATGACAAACACCCACCTCTCCGCCTCTTCCAAGGAACGAGGGGACCGTGCGGCAGAGTTTCAGTTAGGTTTTTTTTCGCCGGTCAAGATGTCTGTTAAAGTTTAAATCTTCCGGACAAAATTAGAAAAGTGCCGGTCAAAGGTCTTCTTTGTTATTTATTGAGCTTTAAAACAAATGAATAACGACTCTATATAATAATATAAGAATAAAACACGAGCCTCTCTTTTCCTCCCCCTCTTCTGACAGCCCAGCAGCTGATCTCTGAGCAGGAGAGGTTGGGAGAGGCGGGGCTATTGCGTCATCGTTATCAGGAAATGATCGTATCGGCGTAAACACGGAGCCGTTTGGCCCCCCAGAGCGTTTCGTTTGCAGATCTACCCACCTAGGGACCCGTTATCGTTTTCTGCGTTTCCATGTCGGCCTCATGTGGCCGAACCGTCTATCTGATAGAGAACTGTAGCAGATACGACCGTTATCGTCCTCGTGTGGCCGGGGCTTAATCTGCTTCAATCAAAGAAGTAAACCAGAATGCCAGTCGATATCTTATCTTAAATACATTTGACTTTTGGACTGGCAAGATCATTATTTTGATTAGCAGCATGTTTCCTTCACTTCAGATTCACTAGGGCTGCAACTAATGACTATTTGTTTCATTGATCTGCTTATGTCAACTGGATGTGATGTCCTCGTTTTTTTTGTAATATTAATATTTGTCTAAATATAACAATAATCATTCAAATAGTTGTTATAATAGAAAAAATGTTTGCTGCCATTTTAAAACGTATTCCTCTTTCTATGTTTATGCACCATTTCCATCAAAGCAAATTCCTCATATGTGTGGACCTACTTGGTAATAAACCTGATTCTGAAATGTCCATCACAGCTTCCAAGTCCAAGGTGATGTCTTTAAAGGTTTAAGTTATTTCATTTCATGTCATCTGATGTACAGCAGAGAAAAGCAGGAGCCCTCAGTGTTTGAGAGACAGTTAAAGAAGTTTCTGACAGTTATGCATGAAAAATTACTAGTTGAAGAATGTCTTTCTGTGGACTGACTCACATCTCGCCACATATCTTCTACTTCTCAGTATTTTGCCACATAAATATTGAAGACAACTTTCCAGAAAGAGTCTGCATGTAGTTGACCTTACACCTCCTGCCTGCCTCTCTCCTGTGTTGTGTTGAAAACATTATGACAGGGTGCTGCTGCCCTGCCCCTCCCTCCCCCCAGCCCACTGTGGCCACTGGCACAAAGCACCCATTGAGCCTGGGGGATAATAGCACCCTTTAGCACCCTTCAGCCCCCTGTCCTCTCTCTCTCCGTCTCTCTCTCTCTGACCCTCCCCCAGAGTGCCGATACCAACTCACACAGACACAATGAAATATATAGAGCTAAGACTGGACACACACTGAGCAGGGAGGGAGGGGAGATACAGAAAGATTATGCCCCTGTGCCACACACAGTTAACAACTGCAGCAGGAAGTGGCACTGCAATGACTGTGTAACAGAGCATCAGAGTGCAGCTGCAACCACTGTCACTCAGACTGATCCCACTCATGCTCAAAGGGAAAACACTGTGAACCTCTTTATTTATTGATCTAAATAGGGACAAAACTAGCTTGCAACAGTTTGAAAGTGCTTTATACAAACTCATCTCTCCAGGGTTTGTGTGATTAACAGTTGCATGTTCCTTGATTGTAAGAGATGGTACAGGTAACCAAGAATATTTTTGACTGGTGACCTGTGTGTCAAGAGGTTCTTTTACAGTGTGGTAAGTTTAGCAGAGATTCAGCTAAATGTAATGTAGCATGCAGCAGCCCTGTTGGGTGCCATATCTTGCTTTCAAAAGTTAGAATACAAATATGATTTTTTTTCTTCTAACATTTCAGCTAAGCCATTGGGTCAGAAATAGAAACACAAAGGATTTTTTAAGTTGGGAAACATTGGATATAAATATCTTAGGGACGCTGTGTACAAAATAAAGAACCTTGAACTATTAGCAGCTTCACTAGTCTGCTGTGCTAACAGGAGTAGTGCCACTGGGAGTGGTGAGGTGGAGGAGAAGGAAACACAAACAGACACATGTTGAGACCTGCAGAGAGCTTAAGATCTTAACGATCACTATAACACAACGTGCTGTAGATTATACATCCTCCACCCCTCCCTCTGAGGACAGAGGACAGACCCGGCTGTATCAGGAGCTTAAAGTATCCTGTATGCTGCTGAGAGGGATGTCCATCCTGGGACAGGAGGACGTAAAACACTTCTGTTCAGTCACACTTTTTTTATTAGAAGTGTAGATCGCCACACACAGCTATTACACCTAACTTTACAAGCATTATTTAAAATGCTGCAAAAGGTTTAATATGTAACTTTAAGACATTAAAATGTCAAAATATTTACAAAGCTAGGGATGTTAATCAACATAACATTCTGTTGTGCTTGCCTGCCAAAAGCAATGATGAATTAACTTGTTGTCCAGTTTAGACCACATTTTTAAGAAACACATTGTTTAAACCAGTTGAAGGGTTTAAGTCAGCGGACATCTGGATCTGAATGTATCAGCGGAACAAGCACAGCTAATGTATGTGGTGAGCTCTCACACCTACAATCCTATAGGGGAAACACTGATCAACGTAAAACTGCCTCTTCATTGTATTTTGAGGTTTGAATTGCCGGGTTTCCAATATAGGATATGTCGTTGCCCGATTTACCCTATTCAAACTTAAATGACCCTCACCGCTAAAGGCAGCGAGCCAATAGGATGAGTGCCAGTGGATCCTGTTAAAGCTGCTCTGTGTTGGTGACACAGAGGATGAGAGGATTCCTGAGGACACAGATAACAAGCTAAAGGCTGCGTGGACGTAGCAAAGCTGCATCCCAGTGTTCAGAAGGTTTACATTTTAGTCACATGTCTCTTATCCTCCATCTACAGCTACCTTCCTCTGACCTCACTGTGCAGGTCACTGTTCAACTCAACATGTTAAAGGTCCCATGTCATGGCCATTTCTACTGATCATAATTCCATTGTTGAGGTCTACTAGAATAGATTTACATTGTTCAATGTTCCAAACTCACATTGGTTTCTCATACAGCATCTCTGTATAGTATGTGTATTCACTCTCTGTCCTACACGGCTTGTTGGAGCTCCTGCCCCCCCCTCCCTGTGAGCCCACTGTGCTCTGATGAGTCAACCACCATTACAGCGGAACATCAGTGATTATGTGTTTCAATGGCGTTTGTTAGCAACCAGAAAATGACACCAGTAATGACAAACAGAGGAGAATGCTGCGTGGGGTCTGGGTGCCGTGTTTTTAATAATAAGAGTGTTTCCAACAGCGTTACAACTCTGAAACATGTTGTTTTCTTCGCTCTGAGCAAATAAATACTACACATCATTGTAGCATTTTATCAAACAGGGAGCGTTTCAACTATGATCTACTAAACTTCACCATGTAGCATTATTGTGCACACAGGACGTGTGATGGGGTTCACACATCTGTGTTGTTTGTGTCCCAGAGTGTCTGGAAGTGTTTAAGATGTCCAACATGTCTCCATGCATGGCAGATATACAGCTGAGTCGTCACTGCTTTACTGCCTCAGTGTGGAAAACACAGGGAGCCCACCGGGGTCTAATGGGGTCAGCTGTTTGATCTCTGCTCTAACACCAAGACACACACATAAATACCTGGACCAGAGTCATCAGTATGACCCCCATACAGTCTTTCAACTCTGAACTGTGTCCAAGGGGTTAGAGTAGGCCTGTCGCGATAATCAATAAATTGACTTATCGTACGATAAATAAAAATGGACTCGATAAC